CTGGGCTAGATGACCTTCAAGGCTTTCCTTCATGTTACATGCATAACCTGGTTACTGAATTAACCCATGCTGGCTGGGGAATTCTGGGAGTTGAAGTCCACACATCTTCAGGCTGCCAAGGTTGAGAAACACTGGGCTAGATGACCTTCAAGGCTTTCCTTCATGTTACATGCATAACCTGGTTACTGAATTAACCCATGCTGGCTGGGGAATTCTGGGAGTTGAAGTCCACACATCTTCAGGCTGCCAAGGTTGAGAAACACTGGGCTAGATGACCTTCAAGGCTTTCCTTCATGTTACATGCATAACCTGGTTACTGAATTAACCCATGCTGGCTGGGGAATTCTGGGAGTTGAAGTCCACCTGTCTTAAAGTTGCCAAGCTTGAGAAACACTGGTTTAGTGCTTTGCCCCAATTTTCTTCTCCATTTTTTTCATATTTAATTTGATGAGTGAGAACTTGCTTTGTTGACAAGGAAATAGATTTCAGATAAATGTTCCCAGATAAAATATAGCGTCCCTGCATTTCCCGTCTGGTTCACACAACACATTGAACATGGGGTCCATTTTAATCCTGATTAGCTTTCTCTTTGCAGCTTCCCGCCTCATGCAAAACTAGCCCATTTGGTTAGGTGAGGGTCCAGTGCATGGTGCCAACAGAAAATGGATTCACTCAATCATCAGGTTAAGGGTGTTGTGCGAATGCAGGCATTTAGAGGCCAGGCGGTTGAGAGATGTCTTTAATTGTGCAATCCTCTTTCTGGCCACCTGTCCTTGGATTGCTATGCCTCCATTTAGTCTTATAGGAATTCCTCTGGGATAAGGGTCAGACTGGGAGTTGCGGGCAATTTGTGGCCTGGAGTTGTGAAATACTATTTCTCCATCTTACATATGGATTATATATATATTTGGGGCGGTCTCTAAAGCTTTGAGAGAGAAGGGCCTTTCCTAGCTCTCCTGGGAGACCCCTAAGGCTGAACTGACAGCCAAGGCCTCCGTCCTGAGAAAGGGTCCTTCCCTGAATAATCAAATAAGATTCTAGTCCTCATGGTTCCAATGCTAGGGATTATTTAAATAGGAACATAGCAAGCTGTCACCTCTCACGCCAGAACAAGTAGCTTATTTTGCTCCGTCTCGGCGAGGTGGACAGGCAGCAAATTCTTATCCCAATCCTATCCCTAAAAACATAAGGACATGTTGGAAGAAAACTAACCAGCTTCTGTTCTCCACCCACCCCCATTTCTTGTAGATATGTTGATGGTACGTCTTGTCTTCGTGGTACTGGGTAAAGGATGCTTAGCAGCTTCTTCCATGTGCCTCTACCTCTACGGGGGGGAGCTCTTCCCAACAGTCATCAGGTAAGCAAATGGGGGGAATACTTTGGGGGGGATCATTCTTGGAAGCCAACCCAGCTTCCCCTTCCAGAGCCAGCCTCTCTCCCTTTCAAGATCAGCCAGCCCAGGATTCTCCCATCATGGTCACGATCAAGCCGGCAGGGGATGATAGGAGTTGTAATTCAACCTCCCCTGGAGGGCATCTGCTTGGCATGTCCAGAGGAATCGGTTTAGAATTGGGGTGACCTGAGTTGGAGTCCCAGTTCAGCCACGGCATGCAGTGGCTTCATTCATACAACACTCTAGACCAGCGTTTCTCAACCTCAACAACTTTAAGAGGTTTGGACTTCAACTCCCAGAATTCCCCAGCCAGCGTTGGTCCAAACCTCTTAAAGTTGTTGAGGTTGAGAAACGCTGCACTAGAGAAATGGGATGGGGTTTTCGTGGTTCTGTGTGTGGAGGAAACCCAGTCTTGCCTGGGTATGTGTGATCTGTAGCCTGTGTGAAGCTAGAGCAGGGGTTTTATTGTTATATATTATTCAACTGTGGGCTGGGTCCCTCAGCCTCGCCTACCCCACAGGGTCGTGGTGCAGGTGAAATAGGGGGAGGTGGGGAAGAATAGGGGGAGGTGGGGAAGAAACCTCCCAGTGCCATCTGAAGCTTTTTGCAGGAAAGAGAAGGTACAGCGCTAACGGATGCCCAGGCAAATGGGTGATGGCCTGGAGTCGGTGGGGCCACCTCTAGGCAAGAGAACGAGGCGGGAGCAGGGGCTTTAAGGACCTCCGTGTGTTTTCCTTCACAGGCAAACAGGCACCAGCTTCATCACAATGATGGCTCGCCTGGGCGGCATCGTAGCCCCAGTGGTCCTGATGGCTGGGGACTACCAGCCCTTCCTGCCCCTGGTGATATTTGGGGTCACACCCATCATTTCAGGCATTTCTGCTGTCTTACTCCCTGAAATGTTTAACGTCCCACTGCTGGACACAGTGGAAGAGGTGGAAGAAAGGTGGGTCTCCTTCTCCTTCTCCTTCTCCTTCTCCTTCTCCTTCTCCTTCTCCTTCTCCTTCTCCTCCTTCATTTCCATTTCCGTTTCCATCTCCTCCTTCATCTTCTTCTCCCTTCTCCCTTCCCCTTCTCCCTTCTTCTTCTCCATCTCCATCTCCTCCTTCATCTCCATCTCCTCCTTCATCTCCATCTCCTTCTTCCTCCTTCATCTCCATCTCCTCCTTCATCTCCTCTCCATCTCCTTCCTCCTTCATCTCCATCTCCATCTCCTCCTTCATCTCTATCTCCTCCTTCATCTCCATCTCCATCTCCTTCTTCCTCCTTCCTCTCCATCTCCTCCTTCCTCTCCATCTCCATCTCCTTCTTCATCTCCATCTCCTCCTTCATCTCCATCTCCTCCCCATCTCTTCAAAACAGCAGGCAGTGAGCATACCTAACCAGATTTATTTTATGAGCACTGTTTCAAAAATGACTGGGAGAGTAGCAGATATCTATTTTCAATCCTTCCTACTGTTTCATTGTCCCACACACTGCTTTTATTATTTCCCTTCTTTTCTAAAATTGTTTTTTTTCATGGTGAATTGGCTGATCTCAAAAAAGTTACACAAGATCAGACCTAATTAGTCTAGAAAATCCCAGGGCTGGAGGCTAGACTGCAAAGTTAAGGAGGCAGTGGCAACCCCTTCCATTCTGCTGCCATGAATACGACATGGACGGGCCCATGAAATCACCAGGAGCCCCTCTCAAGTTGCGAGCTGGCTCATCTTTTCAATCTGCGCAAAGAACTTTGGCTATTGGGCAGATTGGAAGCAGAACTGTTAATATGCACAGTAAACACCCATCTAGCCTGGTTTAGCCAACCCAAAACTTCCTCAGCCTGGCCTCTCCAGGTGTGTTGGGACCGCAGTTTCTTGAACCATGCTGGCTGGGGATGATGGGAGTTGCAGTCTCCACATAAGGAGAGTGCGTCAGGCTGCAGAAGCCCGATATCCAATACGGCCCCTCGTTTGTGGCTTTTTCAGCTGAACCAAACCAACTGCTTCAATGCCTTTTGTCATTTCGCCATTCCATGTTGCATACTGGTTCCTATCTCGACAGAAATTGATTTTCTGTCATCTTTCTTTTTTGCAAAGGAGGCTCTGCTCTGCTTGGGTGGGCTGTCCTTTTCCAACAATGTTTCTTGCCTCCCCTTTATTCCTTCCGCTAATGAAATCTGTGGCTTTTAATGGCCTTTTAACATCTGTCTCCCCAGAGCTAGATGGAAATCTAAAGCCATCCTTGCAGAGTCGCCGGAGAAGAGCTCAGCTCACGTCATCCAGTCAACCCGCCTTTGAGTTTCAGCAAATCAGGATCTGGGATCTGTCTCAAGGCACGGGCATTGCAGGACCAGGATCCAGTCCTGCTCCAAGGACAGCGATCTGCAAGCGGGCCCTTCCAGTGGGTTAGCAGGTTGCCAAGATTGCTAAGCGCCCATATTCTTGGAAGGAAAAGGAACAGAAATAATGTTGGCATTTGCAGCATAGAAGAACATTCAAAGTCCAAGATGTTCTTCTGGCATCTGGAAGCAAATGGACTTTCCTAGTGGTGCGTCTTCTCTCTTCTCAAGGAAACCAACTTTGCTCCCATTTTGGTGCCAGACAATGACTAAGAGAAAAAAAAAATCATGGCCTTTGAATTCTTAAAACAATTATTTTAATGCTGTCAGACGCGTTCTAACATGGATGTTGGGGTGTGTGTGATTAATTGTGGGTCCCTAAGGCGGTGCCTGCAGATCACCTTCCTCATCCCCACCTTTGTCCGAGTTCTCCATCTCGGTTGCTCCAACATGGTTGCTCCAACATGGTCATCTTGAGCACCACAGGGATGCTCCGAGCCCTGGAGAGAGGTAATACTGGGAGATCTGGTTTTCAAGGAATAGCCGAGGCCCTGGAAGCTAAGCACTTTAGGAAAAATCTGGGATCCTGCAAACGCTGAAATGTGGGGCGAATGCTGGAAGATTTCCTCCAAGCTGTGAGACAATGTGGGCAAAGACACAGAACGGCTCTTCCTGTCTTGCAGGGCAGGGGCCCCAAACTGCACAGGGACCCGCCTGCCTGGCTAGTTTTGAATGCTATTTATTTGGTGTCTTTTCTAGTGGAATGTCAATCAATAAACAGAGGCTTCTGTTTTTTCTATTAAATGGTATCTGGAATTTTTGGGAAAAATTGTACCCCATTTCGAAAGGGTTTTGGGAAATGAATTTGATCTTGACCACATGGAAAGGAGATTCAGCCTGGCTGCAAACGGCATTGTGAAATTCTCCACCCGCTGTATGGGCAGAGAACGTCTATCCTGTCTTGTAAAACCAAATACCAATTTTCAATTTTTCTTGGCCGTTTTGAACATTTTAAACATCAAGTTCCATTCATTCTTACGCTCCCCCTGTGCACCTCTTCCCAAGTCAAACGCTAGCTTGCGAGGCTAGATTTGAGTTCCAGAGACATAGAGGCAGGGTACCCATCGTGCACAAGATGTCAATGCGGTGGTTTCAAAGGACCACAATTCCCATATATGTTTATACCTTCCAACGAGGCTTGACTGGACCAGCTCACCTGGGTGCTTTTCTCACACCTCCTGGTGCGTCCCCATCAGAGTGCCTTCGCCTCATCCAGTTCACATGGAAACAACCTGTTTTTTTGTGGGGTTAGGAAAAACAATTCTTTGTGGAGCTCCCTTCAGACTCATCACTCTGGACCTTTCCCTTCTGACTTCCGTTCCACTCTGAGCGGGTCTCCAATGCTCCGTTGCTGATGCAAGCCCAGTTCAACCCAATGCCTGCTGTGATCCCATCACGCTGCCCTGACTGGCATTTCCATACTGAGTGTCAGCCATGGATCAATGTGGTTCATTTGTGGTCAGTCAAGAGGGAGGGTGGTTAACACATCCTACAAGTCTCCGCTTGTTGTGTTAGTCTCAGCAGGGGCCACAAGAGAAATTAAACTGTAGGAAGTCAGGGGAGCTGGAAAGGAAGACGTCTCATCGCTCAGTAGCCCTGCCAGTTTTTCGGGAGACCAGAAAAATGCGGCTTTTCCAGACAGCCCCAGGGTTAGAACGGCAAGAAATGGACCCCGCTTCTGGTGGGTGATTTCTCCTGCTTGTAAAGCTGAGAGTTTCTTGAGTGCTGCGATTCTTGCTTTTGCCATTTAATCCAATCCAATCTGCATCTTTATTGCAATCATTGACCAGCATCAAACGACATAAAATGGTAAGATAAGCCCCACTAACATCTACATAAAAACTACACAAGAAAATTTGTGACCTACATAATAGGACTTTAACCTTGTATAATACTACTTAATATCCAGAATGCCTATATGATGGATTAAGAGTAATAAAATACATTTTTTTTCCTAGGCTAAGACTTTGTGATAAAACATAACAATAAACTCTGAACGACTAGACAAGGGGAGATCATCAAGAATAATACCAAGGAATGGCTATGATCTTTATCTGATCTCATGAATAATTCAAATCAAATGTTATATACAATCACAGTCCAAAACCAGAAATTAAAGTGAAATGAATGTCAGTTGCTGGGGAAAAAGTTATCTGCCCCCTCGCTAGTCTGTAGCTTAATTCACTGCTCACGAATTTTGCACGCCAATAATGCAAATTTAGCTAGAGGGGGAGTTATTTTATTTTAGGGTCTTTGTCTAATAAAAGATACTGAACATAGAATTCATCGGGATATGCAGGGGACGTCCACTGGAGAGTTTCTAAGATGTCTCTAAAAGTTGCAATATAGCAAGATGGGCCAGATTCAGCGGCCCCTGAACTGCATGGATGAAGCTGCTTTGCCTTGGAGATCTTCCTAAATCAGAGTTTCTCCACCTTGGCGACTTTAAGACAGGTGGACTTCAATTCCCAGAATTCCCCAGCCAGCCATGC